ACAGTATTGTATGAAAATAAATAAAAGTAAAACAAAAGTATTGGTATGCAAGGGCAGAAAAAGCAGAGAAAGGATGAAAATAGAAAATAATTAAAAATAATTTTTCGGTATCTGAGAAATCAGGTAATTTAGGATGGAAGGACCACTAGAGGTGTAAAGTAATAGATAGCGCAAGGTCGAGTCGCCTTTGTTATGCTTGCAAACGGATTATTTCAGAAATTCGATGAAGATTATAAAAGATGTATGTCTGGAGCACAAAGAAAAGGTTAAAAGCTTTACAGGCGCATGATGAGGATATGGTAGACAGAGAACGTTAGAAATATTATGGAAGTCAATAAGAAATAGACGAGATAGTCTACCAGTCGGTAGGACACCTCAGAAATGAAGGGCTAGTTAGATATAGAAGTAAAAATGAGTACAACTAGATCTATGTAGATTAGATTACTGTTTACGAATAGTTAAGGATGTTAGTTTTAGGGAAATGCGAAAAACAGCTTAAAATAAGAAAGAGTGAAGATGCGTGCCCAACTAGTCTTAGGATCGACGAGCCTATGATGTTGATGAGGACACTGGTTGAAGTATATGTAAATATAGTGACAGAAGTCTGCCTAATTTGTCATACATAGTTGTCCTCGAACATTTCCAATATCCATCTATGTAAATGGACCTTGTTTAATTATTGAATTCCACTGAATGTAGCATTGTACTATAGGTGAACGTTGCTATAGTTGGTCTACTGTTCTTGTAGTTGGTGTCGGTTCGCAGCTGATGCTACTACATCAGCAGCAAATCTTATAAATTCTATGTTTTCACAACATTTATTTTGACTCCTTTATTGTTTGTTGTACGAACAATTGTATTAGTTTTATCGGGTTTGATGGCTTTATTCGACTGCTATTTTTCTCTTGTTTCTTCTTTTTTCTCTACAATTCCGGTCGTGTATGAGTACCTAACAGTTTAATATTTAATAGAACACGAATTACAATTGAATTTATAATTTTTATTAAAAGCTGTATGTATCGCAATTTGTTAAGGCAGATAAATACAAATACGTACGTCGCTATTATTATTTTCTGTTACGTTGGAAGAGAGACATTAATTATGTTTTTGGCATGATTTTACTTTACAGTCTGAGGCGAATGTCAACACATTTTTTAAATAAAGTTCCTTTAGAGCCATTTAAATTATCGACTGAAAGAGATTTGTTGGAATTCACAAGTAAATCTCATCGGGTAGCAGATGAACTTACTTTTTTATATTTAAAATAAGATATTGAACTTACCGACCAAAAAAGTCTTAGAGACAAAGTGTTTTTCAACATTAAAGTAATGAATATTCATGAGAACTCCGACTACAATTAAATTCACCATGGGAGATCAGTTTTTTGTTAGTTGACTCTATTTCTGTGGAAAAATAAAATTATGTTTAAAAACAGAAATGGTTGGAAAAAATCTAAAATAATTTACGTAGACAGAGAGTTTCGTAAATATTTCTCCAGAACAAATGACATGCTTCTGACATTTAAATAATAAAACCTGTTAATTTTGTACTTGATTATTATTATATATTTTTAATTATGCGGGGTGAAAGAAAGAACCTGACGAATTTCAAAATTAGATATTATCCACATTTATTAAATGCAGGGTAAAGGTCTAGATGATGGCCGGGCGTGGGGATGAGGGGGATTGAAAGAGGAGGTCTCCCCCACCACTGTACCATAAGAAGTTCGTGGCGGTCTCACCCCTATGAAAAGTTATAGGGGTTCAAAGTTAATAAATATGCCAATTTTTATGCATTTATAGGCATGTAAATATTTATATAGTCATTCTTAAACAATATTCAAAGGTAAAACTAATGGAAAAACACATAAAAATAATGAGAAAGTTATATAAAACATTATTTAAATATCTTTATCAATAGGGTAGGTTAGGTTAGGTTAGGTTATCGGGTTTTGTTCAAGTGACCACCCTCTTTCGATCCCCCACCTCCACCCGCTTGAAAATATTTTTTTTATTGAATTTTATTTGAATTATAGTGTATGAAAATTGTCAAAATAATCAACTTTCAACCCCTATAGCTTTTTATAGGGGCGAGACCGCCGCAAATTTTTTACGGGGTTTTGCTCAGGTGACCACCCTCTTTCGATCCCCTCTACCCCCACCCCCCATCTAACCCCCATAACTTTTTATGGGAGTGAAACCGCCACGAACTTTTTATAGTACTCTTTCGATCCCACCCACTCCCACCCCATTCGGGTGTGGCTGCCATCATGTAGACATTTACCAAATGCTGTTATTATATCATTGTATTTTTTTAAACAATGGATCTATAAGATGAGCTTCCTCGTTTCTTACACAATATTCTAGTCTTCCTCGAACATTTTCTTTTACCCCCTGAATCATTTTGTCCTGAAATAAGTAGCAAGTTTGCTGCAGGTAATACGACACCACAAAACAAAGTATTTGAAAGTACAGTCAAGGTTCAGTGCGGCCCTGGTAGCATCACGTAGGGAAATGCGACATTACTACGTAGCATTCCATAAGCTGCAGAATCCGTGTTGTAGTTATTTAATTAATTGTTATCGCAATGGTTGTGTAAAGATCGATATGTCTAGTAGCGTAATAGTAAGCTGTTATTTACTTTATTAATCGTTCAGCAACGATCACTGTTCACATTTTTCATCTATGTGCTTGCTTACTTGTTATCGCTATTTCTTATGCGTTGCCAATTCATGGCCAGAACCGACTTGGGATTGCAACTGGTTTGATTTTCTTATAAATGATTGTTGTCCCTTAACCACGCTGCTTTACTCACACCATGCGATTCCCGTTGCATCCCGTTAGCACCCTTCAAAACTTGCTACTTATTTCAGAAATACCCTGTAGTATATGATATACACTTTACTTTCAAAAGGTAATCCCATACTCAGTAATCGTAAAATAATAAATTAGGAGATTGAGCAGGGTAATTAATATCGCAAAATCAAGACCTTGCAATATTTAGCCATTTTTTCTTCGACAATGATGCAGGTAATGCTGCGACAGTTGCACCAAGTCATTGGTGGAATTGCTCTAAAATCTCTTAGTGTCATAACTTGTCAACGTAGAATTAATTAGAATTAAATTTGAGCTAATTACTTCATCAGTATCTGATTTGGCATTATTAATATTAACATTAACTATGGGTATTATTTAATTCTGAAATTCATCGAGTTCCTCGTTATTATTAGGCACAGACTTGGCATAAATAAAATACGCATTTGTCATGTTTTATATCCTTTTTTCTACATTCTGCATACATTATCGCAATGTAATTTAACCGAAACGTAATAAGTACCCATCCTACCCATGCACATAAAAGTATTTTTTCCTTCCAGGTGGAGTAAATGAAATGCAGCCAACTAATAGCAAACGTCGCAGTCTTGTTTTCGTAAGAAGAAAGTGATTCACCGGCGTCCTCCTTACATCAAGATGGTCTTCCATAACATATTAGTACCGACGTGCAATGATTGTCCGCGTTTTTACACCAACGCCCCCGTTTCAGACCTGGATCCAAACGTTCAGTGCGTTCGGTAGAGATTTTTGCGGCGCCTATAATAAAACAGGTAATAAAATTAACAAAACCAACGAAAACAGAACTTTTTTTCTTTGTCGAAACCCCCCCTGGCGCGTTTTCACATGTCCCTTTGACGCCGATCGAAAACGGATTTTTTTTTCACTCAACTTTCCACCGTCATTTCTCCTACTCGTCGCCCTTACCGTGTCCATTCTGTATGCGGAAACATTGGTCGGTTTCCAGACCACGGCCAGCCGTCCGAAACCAACGTCATCTTCAATCCTGCTCGTGGTTCTGTGTATCGTCTTGGCAACTTTGACGATAGCGACCAAATGCTGTGCGTCAAATGCCCTTGTCACGCCGCTCCAACAACAACAACAACAGCAGCAGCAACACCGGGACGTAGAATCATCGTCACTTGAAAACAACACTCCCAGATTCCGACACTATCACCGCAATTCGTCGAAAACGACCATTACCAGCGATAAGATAAGAACGAGAAGCGGGGCGATTCCGTCGTCGGAACGGTTGTCGTATCACCTCCTGCTCCTTGCCAAAAGATCAACCGGTCATGAGGACGACATCGTCGGTAAGCGTTACGGTAATGCCGAGAGTGAGACGGTAGATTACAGTGTCGTCGAAGACAAGAAGGAGCGAAAGGGGTTGTTAAGGGACGAGGATGGTGATGACGCCGGATCTTCCTCGTATGGTTACGTAGTGAACAACAACGCGTTTGCAATTAACAGTACTTTCATTATTAATAATAATAACAATACTAATAACCGTTCGGAAGTGATCGCGTCGGATGGTAACAGTGGCGTCAACGCGAGAGTAAGTAACGCAAGTGGTGACAGTCGAAATAAATCGATTTTGAACCATCGGGGTGCGGTACGTACTGGGGACAGGTACAAGTGGAGGTCGAGCGAAAGAGGACCGAAGGAGGACGGCGAACAGCCGATGCCGCCGGCTCATGAGGACAGCAGTTCATGTGAGTTTTTTTTTATATCTAATATAATTTTTGAATGTAAAGCTGGTATTAAATGCGTTAGAGCAATTTAGCTCCTTCAAATAAGAACTGGCGCTTCTGTTCATCAATCAGTTCATCTGTTACGGCGCCATAACGAAGTTTGCGAAGTGAATTAGTAGGCAAAACTACCTATGTCTCATAAACTAGGAAATAGCTGCAAACGTTAAATTTAAAGATTATATACCATACAAGTGGTGCTACACAGTGCTGAAACTCACGAAACTAGTATTTGGTGTAGACTGAGTAGTAGACAAAGTGTCTTTTGTAATACAAGGTGTAATAGAAATAAGTGCCAAACTTTGAAGGGTGTAAACTAGATGCAAAGGGTAAAAATAAATTCAAATTTTAAGAAAATCAATAATTTTCAATCCTAAGCCGGTTCTGTGCGCGATTACATACGTGTGTACCGAATAGCGTAGTACATTAAAAACTCGACTGTTTCATGGATGGAGAACGTAAACATTGTCGATTATCGAACGTCTAAGGTAAACTTAAACAATTTAGTACTATAATGTCTCGAGTAAATAAATTAAATAAGTACCTTATTGTAAATGAACGAACATAAAAGAAAGAAAAAGTGTAAGTTACGTAAACATTAATCGGTAAATGGGCATCATAACACAATAAAAAGTAGAAAACACAAGTGAATGAAAGAGTTAGATTGTGGAGCATATATTGGGCAAAGAAAGTCGAAACCAAAAGAAACATAAAAAAAATAATTTAATAAAAATATTTAGCTCCTTTGCCTTTTTTTCTTTGTTTATGCTAAGAAATTGACAAAAGATGTAAAAGCACTTGTATCACTCGTTACAGTATTCAGTTATTAAAACAGAAAAGTTTTTTTTCTATTTTAAATGCAATTAAAAAGATGAAAATAGAAATTAGCAATACGTTGGGGAACATCTACAGAAGAAGAATGGACATTTTTTTTTATTGATACGGGCCGACATTGGAAAATTTTGAGCACGTTTAGACTTTACCTTGTTTCGGCACTAATGCTGCATTCCGCAGTGCCACAAGACGTCACTGGCTTTATCTTATACAATGGGAGAAATTGGCATAAATAGCCACCTTACAACCTAGCAAAAAAAAGGAGTTTGAAAGTATTTGCCTCCATAAATACGATTTTCCGACTAGATTAAAAAACTATTCCTACCGCGAGTATTCTATGATACCTCATAGGTTGTTATCTTCGTCATTTGCTTCACATGAAACAATACTTTACAATGAGAAGTGTACTTACTTTCTCACAGAATTGTGTTTTGTATGCCACCAGCCGAAGAGCACCTACTTTGCTAGGTGCTCACAACTTTCAACCTCTGTATATCACGCTGCCATACTTCAATGAATTTACATATATCACTTCAGCAGCAAGTTGACCATGTCACCAGTTTAAATAGTTTTGTCGATCTTTCGGGTACTCTTCTAGAATTCTTTAAACTTAAAACGTAGGGGAATGAAACAAATAGACATGGGCACGTTGGTCGCTCACATCTCCTATGATTTTATGCATGAACTACCACGAAGACTTCCCGGTATACCACATAATGGTAATTAGTACATGTGCGTGGCTTATTAGCAGTTCGTAAACGTATACGAATACACTTTTTTGTGTGTTTATCACTACATAGTATAAAACAAAGTTGCTTTCCCGCTGTCTGTCCCTATGTATGCTTAAATCTTTAAAACTACGTAACGGACTTTGATGCGGTTTTTTTTTTTTTAAGATAGGGTGATTCAAGAGGAAGGTTTATATGTATAATACATGCATAATATAGTTGGGAAACACTGATAATTTTAGAGGTTTCTAATGTGATGTCGTAATTAAACACATTTTTTTGCGCTTACATTGCAAACGCTGGCTGAACCCTACGAGATAGATCAAAATAATGTACTACAATATTGTACATCTGAAAAGGGTCTACAAGAAAGTCCGGGATAGTATATGTCTATCTCTCAGGGATAACCCTCAATAACCATTTTTATCCTTTACTTTTTATGAGAAATAATGACATATTCATGAAGCGATTGTAGGCAATACAGCATTAATTCTTATCCAATTAAGTACTTTTAAATACATTGTGCATTTAATATAGATGAATGTGGCCCTTTACAGCATGTAATTTAAATGAATATTTTCAAAGATATTACAGTTTTAAAATGCAGGGACATAGCGGTTGCGGCGGTACCGGCCGGGAGGCCAGTTTGTATTGTCTAATGACAAAAACACTGTGAATGTTGTATATAAAGACATTCTGTAGTATATTTAGTATGTTCGGGGGGTATCTGTTGAAGATTTCCCCTTTTCGATAATCTAAACAAAACAAAAATATATTTGGTATCAGCATTGCACCCATGCGAAGCTGGGGCGAGTCACTAGTTTATTTATAAATGTATATTCTATTCTTAAATAACTACGATTTTATGAACAATTTCAAATATTCTGTAGTACAATATTTACTCTTGGAAACGTTAGAAGATCAAAACACGTGGATCGCGATTTCGATCTCTTATTTGATCTCATCAACACCCCGCCAAAGTGTCGATAAGATTTAGTCGATAACTGGTCGAAACTACCTACGGCGTGCTGATGAGATCTGGTTGTTTTGATAAATTACTGACTAAAAACTTAATCCCTTCTTACGTTACGGTGTTAGATGACTGTTTCTTTTCCGAGCAAAAAAAAGTCGGAGTGATGTTTTTTTTATATTATACCTACTCAGGTAATTCTTGTTGCGTTGTGCATCGTTTACCAAAATTAGAGCCGGAATTCTAACCGGTTCGCGAAGGAAGACGGAGCGGTTAGACTAGCTAATAATTGCATAGTTGTGAGTCGATATCCATGTCTAAAATAGCCCATACGGCTCACTGACGACCCTGTAATAAAATAAAGGAAGAGGTCGAATAACAATAACAAAAAAGCATTTATATAACTATACAGAAGAGTGGCTGTTCCAACTCTGGAAGTTTCTTTGTTCGATGCTGCCGCTGCTGCAACAGCAGTCGCTGAACTAGAGAAAACGGCACAACGGTCAGTTGGCGGTCAATGACCTCTTGTATACGCATCCAACGACTCAACATCCCTACGACCTCAAAATCATGGGAAAAACAATTGAAAGTTCTCTCACCTCTTTGGAACTAAAACAGAAGCCCAACCGGGATTGTCAAGTCTTAGCCTTTACATAGGCCTTTACTATAATTTTATTGTGTTTTTCTTCGGGAGTATTATTTTAGCATTGAAGGGACCGTTTCCTGCATTATCCGACCATATTTTTAAATTTATTAAAAGGGTAGTCTGACCGTGTTTATCAGCTTGGCCCGACGAACATTGAAGGTTCTGACACGTAACTTTACTTTGTTAAGCGTATAGCAGTTAGATCATTTATCTATTTATAAAATGCCCGACCTAGATTTAATTTTATATTATTTGAACATTATATTTAATAAGAAATCAATAAAAATAAATAATCAGATTAAAGAGTTTAAATTCCATTATATTCTTTTTCATTGTATTGTAATTCGTTTTCCGTGTCTGGATTAATTTTGTTGTGCTCTGTTTAAACATTATCAAATCTACCACATTAGTAAGAACGTAGATTGAGCCGCAATCACGTTTTGCGGTCTACTTCTTATCTGTTTTAATTAAACCTCGAAAATAGGTCTTTGCTCTTTAAAGAAACGAAAATGATAATAATAATAATGTACGCGTCAATGTAAATTCTTTCTTGTTTGGTTTACTCAAAAGATAAGAATAATAAAATCTTATCAGTTTTTCTGAGAACAGTTAAAAGTTGTGGCCCGTTTGCTGGCTGGTCTATACTGAATTTAAAACTGCAAGCATTCAACTTTACATAACCCAAAACGCTTTGTTTAATATAAAATTATGCGGCGTCTTTATCTAATAGTGTGAGATATCTATTACTTTGCTTTAATCAAGAACTTGTTCGATTTTTCTCGCGATGAACATAATTGCTAAATTATAAGAAAATTTTGCTTCCTGGTGAAAAGTAGCATCCGCACCAGGGACGAAATTAACGTGCTATTGGAGACGTTCTTTACTTTTCTTACTATTCTTATATGATTATGCATATACAAACAAGAAAACCAAAAAGGCATATTTATAATGTTTAGAGCTTCTCCTAAGTCAACCCCTTTGAAGTTGGTATGAAACAATTAGTAGGCAAAAATATAAACCATCGGATAATTGGCGGTAAATTAGCTGTCAAAATCGAAAATTAGTTTGCATGTTAAATTCAAATGGAGTTAGTATGCAAAAATTGTAAAATTGATTTGGAAAAACCTAGACAGCTACAACCAGTCTTATAATTAGTCACTCATTTATTAAGCAGGGGGTTGGAATTGTTTTTTTTTTTTTTTTTTTTTTAGTAGCGTCTCTTAACATCTTGGCGGCCCGACAATCGCTACACCGAGATAAGCACTCTCAATCAAACTTTAAACTTCCTAACCGATTTTACAATCTTTGCATGATAACTTTATTTGAAAAAAAGAGTGATTTTGGCTATCTAGGAAGACAGATAACTCAGGATGGAAAGAGTAGTAGAGATCAACACAGAGGATAAGGCAGGGTCTAGTCGCCTTCAACAAAAGGGGATCACTTCTATGCTCGTCAAGGGTTAATTTAGAAATTCGAAAAAAAAAAATGTTAAAGGTGCGTGTCCGGAGCACGGCTCTGTACGAGTATGAAACGTATGAGCGGAACGAAAAAGAAAAAGTTGGAAGCATTCCAAATGCGATGTTTCAGGCGAATGATGAAGATACCGTGCATAGAGAAGGTTAGAAATGATGAGGTATTAAAAAGAGTAGGAGAGCAGAGGGCGCTATGGAAGTCAATAGCAAATACGCGAAATAGGTCCGCAATAAAACTGTCGCATTTACTTTATTCTTTCAACTTACTAACCAGACTAGAACAACAGTTGACAGAACGCCTACTTTTATTTACG